AGAGAGAGAGAGAGAGAGAAGGAGAGAGAGAGAGAAAGAGAGAGCAGAGCGCGGCCGTTACATCGCGGCACGCCCGTATCCATCCACGGAGGTACCCCCGCTTCTTCCTTACGACTCAGTCTCGATCTTCGAGCGTCATAACGTCGGGTGCACCACCGCCGCCCCGCCCGCCGCCACTGCCGCCGCCGNCCGCCTCGCCCCCCCTTGCTGCCCGAAACGCCTCCTCCATCGCCGAGGAGGTAGTCACCCCCCCGCGCGCCGTTGAGGGCCATCTTGCACTTCAGAAGAGCATGCAGGCCGCCGAACATGCGCCTCTGGACCATGCTCGAGCCTGCGTTCGTTGGGTGAAAAACGGCGGGTTAAGGCCGCAACAACCGGACGGCAGCAGCACTGATTGGACCAAGGGTTGCAATATTACGGGAGAACGACTACAGTATAACGTCACTCTATGGGATTGGTGGTCTCAGGATGGGAGTTCTTTGAAGACAACAACGACAACGACAGAAACAAACAATTGCACCCAAAAACTGACCCTCGTTCTCTTTGATAGAGCGCTGCTGCCGGCGGAGCTGCTTGCTCAGGGCCTCCTGCTGGCGGAGCTTGTGCTCGTACAGGTCGCGGTGGCACTGGAACTCAGGCAGGAGACGCCCGTCACCTTTCTCCCATCTTGTCATTGTCATCATCGGCACCATGATCACCATCGCCATCATTATCACCATTCATTATATACCATCGTCACCATCACCCCGAGTGATAATATTGTTTTTGTTAGGTTGTGTGCGCGTTCATGTGATGGGGAGGACGGAAAAAAAATTGCAACGACGGCGGTAGTGGGCGAGGAAGGGAAACAAAAGCAAGCAAGCGGGAGGGAGGGAGGGAGCTACATCATAGCCGTGAGCGAGAGCGAACATTAACAACCAGCAGAGTACGCAGCATCCGACGTATCTCTGGTAACGGCCACCCACCGCGCTCTTGCCCTCCTCCTCTCCCAACCTCGAGCAAGGGGCAGGGGCAGGGGTCGAGTGGTAGTGTGGACGTTCTAGGAGATCTACTGTACAGTATCAGAATGACCTCGAACACAAGCAGGGCAGCGCAAACCATTCTGTTCGTTCGAATGGCTGTCCGGGGAACGTATTGTCATGAGTGGGTGCCTCGGCGAGGAATAAAAGTGGCGCTGCACGAGGGGAACGGTACTCTTCCTCTTCCATGCCAAGGCGATTCTAAATGGAGTGCGCCCGCCCCCCATTGCTCTTGGATCAAGTGGTCCACGTGTAGTGATGTGGTTCACAGGCAGCAGCCGAGTTCAAAATTGTGATGACATAAAGCAATCTCTACGCCCCCCCGACCGCCCAGGCCCCGGCGGCGCCTCTCATGGAGGATCTCACGTGGTGGCAAACAAAACATAACATCTCTTGCCTGGCCGGGGACAGCCCGCCTTCTCGCAAGAATGCGCGGAGCCATGGTCTACAACGAACGGTGACCCATGGTACTGAGCCCCCCCCCCCCCGTACCCTACTTCAAACAAAAACAACGAGATAGTCTCGAAAGAGATACGGAGGGAGACGACAAGGCACAAACGGTGGAGAAAGAGAGAATGGAAAGGTGCAGTACTGGTAGTGTTGATATTTGGGGTCAATAACGACATGACAAATTTGGAGTTCAAAAGCATATGTGAAGATGTAGGATTATATTGCTTCGCACGGGGGGGGGTAGAAAGGGAAGGAAACCACTTTAGAATCACGTTTGGAAGGAGAGCAAGCGCAGAATGGGAAAGACTGGAAGTAGAGAAGATGTCGGCGTGGGTGAGGAGACTAGGTTGGAGGGTGTGCATAGCAAATA